TTCTTAATCAGAGCTGCTTGTATGTATTTGGATGGCACCTAACACAATGTAGACTCCCTAAACACTAGCCACTCTAATAACATAGTACTCTGGTGAGTGGGAGAACATAAACAGGCGCAGTCTACAATTAAGATGCCTTAAGATCTTAAAAGCATGGGTATTTCAAGGATGCCAGGCAACTGAATGGTAGCAATATCTTTAACACCTTCTTAAAAAAAAATTAGTAACCTTTTGGATAACCTTTTCAATGCACCTTCTTTCACAACTGAGAAGTAGAAATCACTATTTTTTTAAAATATGTATTTAGAATGCAATGTTTCTGAATATTTACAATTCACCAGTCAAGTCTAGTACACACTGTAATACCACTAGGATGACTAGACCCTTATTCATCACTTTCATAAATTTTGTTCTAATCTATGGCATCAAACAGATGCAAGATGTGGTTTTGTACCTGGGAACCCAGGTTCGTCAAAGTATTCTAATATTAATCCACGTTAAAAAACATCAGACTATATAAGCTTCTCAACTGAATATTAACCCTGATTCCCAAACTGCTGAGAGTATAAGAAAACTTTCATATGTGACAAAGTTGCCAGTTGATACATTTTTTTTTTTTTTAGTATGACAACAGAGAGCCACAAGCACCTGCATAGTTTAATACAGGACAAAGTACTTCGGTCACTAAAATACTATTATATGCTTGATTTACCCACTGAAAAGCACAAGATATTTTTTTTTTCCGGTTCAGAGGTGTATTTTTTTCAGTTACATTGTGTCTTTCAAGAGAAAAAAAAAACAGATTCATGTACGTTTTGCAAAAACACAACACACCTTCTCTTAAGCACTGCAAATGGGAGTTAGCAGGGCTTTCGGACTGACAGCGTTACCAAAATGATGAAAGAGAATACATGATAAAGCAATATGGCATGCAAGAAACTGTACAGTCTTGAGATTTGGTTTGCTTCCTTAATCAATCAGGCAATAGCTTACATAGTTTCTAATGATTTGTGACTACACAAGGATATGGAGTTAATACAGGCCTGTGAGGTCTCAACACACTGTGATAAGTGTCATTAGTGAAAAAGGTGGGAATAAGGGGTACCTCCTTCGTCAGATGGCCTTGTTATCTCACTGCAGTAAGAAAAGGTAGGGTTCGTGTCAGAGCCATCTGATTTATAATCTCCCAAACTGGTAGAATGTAAATACTGCTTACTGTAACGGCTTGCTCTTTCTACAAAGGTAGAAAGAAAGAATGTCACAGTAAATAGATGACAGAAATGCAAAGACAAGCAACAACAAAAACCCCAACACTGCTAACATTGATATTCATACACTGGTGGCATTAAAATCAGAGAAAAGTGAATTGTTCACAATTTTGTATCCATTTTGAACACCATTAGTTCAAAAGGTTGCTTCAAAATCAGGTACAACTAAGCTTGTTCTCTGCTTTAAAAGAATAGCAGAAATGGAAGGTAGGATTGACGTACTGGAAAAAAAGGGATGAAGATGAAGCATATGAAAATTTCCAGTGGAAAATCAAATTGTTCCTTTATCCCAGCATGCATACAAGCGCATGTGGAAATACTGTTCTATGACATTAAAAGAATATTTAAAGTTCCACTATTAGTAGCAAAGAAAATACATGTGCAAAATTAAATATTCAAAATAAACACTTCTAGGGGGAAAAAAAACAAAAACTTGTAGAACCAAAACATTGCTGCCTATTATTACATTACCTTCTCTCCTTTTCGATCTACCCTTAAATTATGAACACCTTGGAGCTGCAAACAATAGCACAAGGCATAATATCATGTTCCATATAAGCAAAATGTGCATAGAAAAGAAATCAATTTCATAAATAGGGCCACCTTCTCTATCTAAAATTTTAGTAAGGTCCAGCTATTTGAAAATTCTACTTATAGTAAGGACAAAGTAGGTCAATCATTTTTAAGTGACTACTTCTAAGTGGTATGAATAACTGTTGTTTAGGATAAGATTTATTTCACTATTTCTTATCTGCACATGTGATTACAGCTGAAGTTCCTATAAAACACTGCTTTCAAAATACTACAGTTATATATATATATGAAAACATACTTCTAAAACATATGGCTGGCACGCTGACCTGAAAATTTACTCTATCAACTTAGTTTCATAAACATAAAAAGCTGAATTGGGGAAAAGTCAGGATATAAGCAATACCAGAAAGCATATGCAGACTCCTAGACTGAATATTGTCCTCCAGAGGATCAATGTCGAAGATGGAGCCAGGATCTGTGCGCCAAACTTTAAGATCTTTTCCCAAAGCACAGAAATTGTAAGACAGACAAACAAAAAAGGAAGTAAAAGCATGAAAGGAATGAGTTTTAACAATCAGCAACCAATTTCCTTCATCCAGAAATTAACCAAAAGATCTAGATATTCACCTGAAAGGACTGGAAAGTATTAATTTCCTGCTTAAAAGAACTTAGTGCATTCATTTTAAGCGTTGACATTATTTTAAGGAGACTTTTTCTCCCAATTTTTGTTTTCCTTTTCTAAATATGACCATAGTATTTTCTTAAGTCTAAATAAATGGAAACAAGTTAAATACCACATACCAGAGCTCTTTTCCACTAGAAGAACCAAAATCATCAGAGCTACAAGATTATTTCCCCAGTCCACCAACAGCATCCTTACTTCATGGAGATGCTGCAGTATATATCCCTATAGCTGACAGTTGGCAGTATACATCTCTACAGCCGACAGAGGCACTAGAGGCCCTCCTTTGCATACAGTAGAGATCAAGTCAGTCTAATAAGCAGAACCAGGGGCATAGTTCATCTTATCCAACATAAATTTCTACAAGTTGCTCAATTCATATAAACTCAAAAGAATCCATCTTTCTTAATTAATACAAAAAATGGGCTAGGGTGACAAATTCAGCTGTAGATATCTACATTGTAGACATCTACAGTTGGGTAAAATGAAGCCCACTCTTGATCTTAACTAGTAATTCCCCTTGTCTTCCAAATATCTAAGTTTCCTGGGACACAGACTTACTGTTGATCCACTACCCCACTATTGAAAAGCATTTTTGGAATTCAATGAATGGATTCAATAACAGTAGTAATCATAAGATCTTCAGCTTTAATTCATACAAGTTATTAATATCTCTTGAATTCACATGTCTGAACTGGATATTAAAAGAAAAAAGAGTCCATAAGAAATAATTAATTTCATATCCGAGTTTAAGTTATAACCACAGCAGAAAAGTGAATACAGATTCAACCATATTTTAATAAACATTTAACAAATAATTACGGTGTTGTACAAGTCAAGAGGAGTCTTGTAACAAATCCAGAAGCAGCTACAGTGTAAATTCTTGATATACTCACATCAATCTAATATATACAATTCATATCCGCTATGTCTAAAAATATAATAATCATTTAATCTCTCCAAACCAGTTTAAAATAATCTTGATGTAAAGTACAGATCACACCTTTTGACTAGTGGTTTGCTTCTTGGGCAAATCTGTCTGCAAGATTTACTCAATGCATTGGAAGTGGGAAAAATAATTGTCTTCCCAACTTGGTCCTTTTGCTGGTTTGAGTGGTACCAAGTTAAATTAATGGTTTGGTAGGTAAAGTAGGACTGTGGGGACCCCAAATATGTCATGTTTCAAATGATTAATAGCCTAGAGGCAATGGAAAGAACAGACAGAGCTAATAAAAATAAATCCCATGGCTTTAGAATACATTCAATGTATGTACATTATGTGTTATCTACTGCAACTCCCATAAGGTGAGGCATAGTGCTAACTCCCTCTTGACAAGACAAATAAAAGCCAATGCAAAACCTTTTGATGAACTATGTGTTAGTCCTAATGGTGATAAATTATGCAACTACACAAAGTACTGACAGGCATGAGAGGGGTGGGGGAACTGGTGAATGCCAAACTTTTCCTGTTTGATCATGCCTTAGAAAGTAAAAACATAGTAAGTACAGCTTCATGGCAGCATCAGGGCAGCAGCCATTGATTTGTATTGATTTTATCCAGCTCTGCAATCTGAAATAACATACATCAAATCAGAATCTTGGCAAATTATAGCATCAATCAATTTTAACTTCCTGGTAACTTTTGCCAATTTAAAATATCCTTATACTCGCATGAGAATCATGGAGCCTCTGTAGTCACAGATCCAAAGCTCAGTTAGGTTAATTTATCTTGATGGGTCTAGAATGGCTTTAGCATGGTTAAAACTAGTGCCTGTTTTCCAAAGCAGAGGCATTAATTTTAACAATCGGGCATTTGAAAAAGTTGTAACAGCTTCACCGATAATACTTTAAAAACCAACCAGATGGACTCTAACACAGAGGTAATTTTCCTAACTGGCTGAACAATTATCAGCTAGGAATAAACTCAAGAGAGTCATAGTTGTTTTTTTCAGTCTGCGATTTTTTTTTCTAGCTGCCAAGGACATTCCATGAGCAGAGAGCTCACTGCTGCTTTTTCAACAAGCAGATATTATAATTGCAGTTCATTCTGAAAAACCATTAGCTGAAATATCACTGGATATTAGGCTCACAGGTTTGTCATGGCCTCTTTCCTTTAAATAGTTGCACTATTTTTGCTGTTTGGCGGGCATGGGGAGTTAAGAATTTCTGTGTGTTTTGACACTGGAGTATTTTAAGGTGACAAACAGTACTAATATTTCAGTTACTTAGAGCTCAAGAAATTATCTCAGGGATGTTCTTAATCATAATCTGTTTGTGCTAGCAAGCCTTCAGTTACTGAACACAGGAATGCACACATGATTCTTACATAGGGCTACAGCACACGTGCAATGCAGTACAGAGTAGGAGGTTTGAAGTGCGCACTAAACAGCATATTGCAAACTGTTTATTAAACTGCAATTTTGCAGGAGGTTTTCTCTCTCTCTTTGGCTGGACCACTTCTAGCTACGGAAGTAAGTTCAAGTGCTTGGGTCTCTACACACAACGATTTTCTGAACAAGTTGTTGCCCTAGATCCAGAATGTGTGACCCTCTGAGACTTGCACGGTCTTAAAAGCATCAGTACCTTCCCCAGGCAGAACTCTCTAAACATTTTTGAGAAATCCCTTCTGACATAAGGCTGTAGTGACAGACATGTAAAAGGTGGCTATAAAAAAGGAAAGAAATACACTTCTTTATGCGGTGGAGACTCATTTGGAGACTTTAAGGAAAAGACTGTAGAAGCATCTGCCAGGAATGATATAGATATAGTTAACCTTGCTTTAGGCAGGAGGATGGACTATATGACCCACCTATTAGTCCATTTGACCTGCAATTTCTCTGATTTTTGAGAGGTAGACTTAAAGTCAACCCTTGCTATTATTATTATTATGTATGAAGGATTTTAGAGTGCTATCTCAGCATGTTATTCTATATGTAGACCCTCTGGGGTCTACACTGTTGTAAAGCCCAGAAAAACAGAAGAAGGACACACCAAAAGAAAAAGAAAGGAGAAAAAAATAAAAATGTCATGTTACCATTTCCTTTGTCATAGCAGACTTGCTAACTTGGAAGAGATTTCAAATGTGTTTATTATGAATACCCCAAATGACATCTTAATGCAATACTCTGTCTCTACATACAAAACCAATCTGTATTCTACCCCCTGAACACCTGGTCTTATCTTGGACCATCTTTTAGAACATCACTTCTGAACACTGGTGTTTGGCTTACCAGAGATCTAAAGAGTTATTGAATTACAGCTTGAGATATTTTGAAAGCTGTGTGAAATTCTAAAACAAGAGGTAAATGGAGTATGTGCACCTCTGGAGAAATTGCTGACTGACGGAAGGGGAAATCTCAAACTGGTCTGCAACATTTAAACATTGAAATCTTGGAGAATCACAGCTTTAATCATCTCTCTTCTGTGCAAAATGAAGATTATTGCAGATATTTTGGCCTTTCTTGAAGAGTCAAAATTCAAACAAAGTAATAGCGATGACTATCCATATTTCAAAAAAAAAATTATAGAACAAATGATAATACATCTCCCATTCATTCCCTTTATTACTTCGCTAGAAGCTGGCCTTGAACCAGTAGTTCAACACAAGTTTCATGCTGAGAAAAGAGTGAAAATGAAATCTGGGAGTACTTTTTCTTGGTTATAATGGAGAACACAAGCAGAGGCTTTCATCTTCCCAACTGTGCTTTCAACAGCAACAACTTACCAACAATTATCCCAGGTCTTCTATCCATTTCAACGATATGTGGATGCACACCTTTATATGCTGCATCACTCACAATTTGGGTGTTTTTCCGCACACGCTCTGTTACAGGATCATCTACCACTGGGGTGAAGCCTCTGCCCTTTGTCTTCTCAAAATCTTCATGGTATTTTACCTAGGAAAACAAGAAGAATTATGTTTTTCCCCAAGCTGCAATTGACAGCAAATGGTTATTCTATGCAGGAATGCATACATGTTTGTTTCATGAGGCACTTATATTCTTTGGGTTTTGTACCATAATAGAATTGTCACACACATGAGATAGGCTAGATGGCCGGCCAAGTCTTCTCCATCTCCCTAACTTGATTTCCTGATATTTTAATATAATTTTGCCACTGAATTAGGCATCAACTCAAGCAACAAAGGATCATCTTACAGTCACACAGGACAGGAAAAGCCCTCAGGAGGTCATCTGGTCCATTCCCTTCTCTAAGATAGGGTAGCTCTCTACTGATGTAGACAACTACATCTATCACTAAAAAATGTTCCAGCAGTAATAGTTCTAAAGAACTCAAGTATTTTCATTCACAGAGAATTCTGATTATACGCACAATTTCATACAAAAGGTACTCTTTTGCTCTTTTGTTTTATCATATGGCTTTAAACATAGGTTTTTAGAAAGAATTGCAGTTATTCTAAGCAGCCTGCTTTCAAAAAAAAAAAGAAATTAAAAACAAGGACATTAGGGTAGAAAGTGTTACATAACGAAGTGTTGGAACAAAACCAGAATTAGTAAGAGTTATAAAGGTAGTACCCTTGATTATGCATATTTACTTTTTTAATAGTCTTAATCATCAAAGAATTAAATTGACAGACATTCTCACCCAAGCAAATGCACACAAAACAACTCATTCCAAGAACAAAAGTCACGCAGAAACCAGGAACGTGCACAGGCACAAGGTGAAGTGTGTCACCTAATCCAGTCAAACTGTGTGATGCTCAAATGAGGTGTGTACTTTTTTAAAGAAAATAAAACAAACAAAAGAACAAACATTTAACTGTTAGAAAACTGTTTATTAGTATTTTGAAAATGTTCATTACAGTCATATGCAGTTAGCAAACACTCCCTCAACAGCCATCAGAAGAAAAATATTCCTTCCATACTTGAGCAGAGAGTTCCATTAGTTACCTATATTAATGGAAGGCAAAATCCAGTGGAAGTCAAGTGCCATTCCTTAGTATACTCTAGTTATAGGAAGAAAGTACCCTACCATTGAGATGTTGTTTTGTGTTTCTTTGACATGCCTTAGCTCAGGTGTGTCTAGAAGCACACTACGTCTACCTTTCATCTGCCTCTGATCACTGCTGTACTTGACCTGCAAAACAGCAACAACAGCACACATGAAGTTTTTGTTTACAGTAGAAAGGATGGTGAGAATCACACCATGCAATGGTATCCTTTCCAAACCACAATGCCCAATGTTTTTGTTTCTTTCTTTACACTCATTTTCTAGTAACCTATTTCAGAGGGAGGATATAGGTGAGTTAGTATATTGGTAAGGCCAAAGGACGCGTTTATTCCATCAATCACTTACTCAAAAAAATAGTATTTACCTGAAAGCTGAAACTCTTGACTGTTTAAATGACATAAGTGAAATAATTCATTTATCAACTGAAAAATAAGTTAAATAATAAGAAACCACCACTGTGACTTGGACATCTTTAAAACATATTTGTATGGCTGATGATAAGCTACCTTCTTATTACCCAGACAGACCCAGATTCTGTCCTCAGTCTGCTTCCAGGTTGGGATTAGCTGAGAACCCCTGGGTCCCCAGGGAATTCAATTCTTACAAGCAGATTAGTCCTTTGGCAGCCTTCTTACTCCTGTTCTGTAGCTAGTCTTTGCTAGCAGCACAAAAGCAACATGTCTGGGACAAATCTGAATATGCTGTTTTCAAAAAGAACATTTGAGCTCTGTGTTTTGTGCATCAGTAAGTATAGAACCTCCTATGTCACATTTCTCCTAATTAGCTTCTTTTGTGGCATTTTACAGACTTGTAAAGATGCAAGGTTAATTATCTGTTTAAAAAAAAAAAGGCAAAAAACCCCACACACTCAAAATTCTAAAACAGTAAAAGTAGTTGGTCCTACTTGTTGGTTCTAGAGTGAGTACTCTCAGTGTCTTCTGGCTGGTTGAATTCTTCTACTAATGGACTCTCTTAGCTCCTACATTGCATTGTAACCTGTGTACTGACTGTTAGTAAATATTTTAGATTTACCTATAGTTCCAGACTCAAAGTATTACCTCTCAAATCAGTTGTACAAATCTATTTCAACATGCATTTGTGATGTGAGAAACCAAATTGTCTAACCCTCCTTAAAATTACATATTAGCTAAGCACAACATACCTATGAAAATATGAGTGTTGGTGTCTGTTTCATAGATAAGTTTGAAGTAATGTACAGAGAAACAGAAATATATGGCATCGCATAGTCTTCAAACCCTTCTAAATTAAACAATAAATTTCTTAGCAAATATATTCAGCTACATATGCTTTTGAATATAAGCTGTTTTCTGGACAGAATAATTACAGCCAACATAGTTTGGTTTTCATCTACTGCTGATTAACATAAAGGAGTATTTATCCTTGTAAATCTTGAGAAACAAAGTGAAGGATTCACTTGGAAAAAGAAGCTTAATTTTCAGAAATAAAAAAATTGTTTAAAGCCTAGAATTGTTGGGAAGTTTTCCTCTTGTTTTTAACTGTGCTCCTCAAAACTAATTGACTTTGGTAAATATGCATGAGCATTTTAAGAATGTACTTAAGACATATTTAGTTACAAGGTCAGATTCTGTTCTTTTGTCCTTAGACAAATCCTCTGACAAATCCAACCTACTTTACTTTTCACTCCTACATTCAGTTCTAAACTGTTCACTACTATTAATTCTCTTCTGCCACCTTGAAACAGTGGCTCTGCATGAAACCTGTTCTATTTACCATCTGCAGGGGCTTTGCCACCGATGTTGTTGCAGTGTTGAGGACACAGACTGTAATGTAATTAGTCTGGTCCTTTACTTCACCATGCTGTTTTGACTTCCTTGCTCCTTATTGGAACTGCCTGCTGCTTCTTACACCACTGTAGCGGCAATTAAAAAAAAAAAAAAGTATTATCATAAAAGCCAAGAAAAATATAGTATTTTACTCTTTAGTGTTTAGTAATAGGATCTATTTAGGACTACTCAGCTCTAACATAGGTGGCATGTCGCAGAGTAGAATGGATGACTATATGCTTCCATGCTTTGAATCATTAAAAAAATGAAATTTGCACTAAAGTTAAATTCTCATTTCCTTTGTTCTTTACTGCAACTTACTCCTGCAATCTAGCAAGTAAAACTTGGTAACAAGAGATGAAGATACTTGAAAGAATGACTGACTCTCTACTGACTCTCTCCTTGGAAAATACTGGCGCCAACACAATCACTTACTTTTTTTGCAAGAATAATCAGGCAAGTCTGAATATTTTTGTTGCCCATATGTGCAGTGCATGTACTCAAAGAATAAAAAAAAAAAAAAAAATCCATTCAGTGGATGATGCAGCTGGATTCATTTGACACATCAAATCTAAATGGAAAAGCAAATCCTTGTTATATTCCTACAATGACTGAAAATCTGAATGACAAAAAGATTCAAACAACTTGCCGAGCTGATATTGTCTTGATTCTTCTTGACTCTCTCTATCTCAGGAGTGACACTCACAGCAGTAGCTTTGCCAGGCTGCTCTCTGTAGTGAACCTATTATTTAACAGAATAAAATGGTACATACTATTTCAGCTAAAGCAATATCACATTGTTTTACATTAAAATGTATGATTTAAAAGGTCATCCAGGAAACAACTGAAAAGTTAAAATGCATTTGAAGTTTATTAAAGCTTACAAAACTTGATTTTTGAAGCATAACCTTGAATTCTTTCTGTATAATCTTCTTATTAATGCATTTGTGTGGATATATACACACATATGCATACAACATCTTGACATTTACCACACTGGTCCTTGGCTGTATAGAGAAATATCTTATATTTGGAATGGGGTAAGCTACAAATAATGCAGTAAAGTCAAGCAGAGCACATGAAAAACTGAATTTCAGCAATGCCCACTGTAAATGTATATTTGGACACAGAGATTGCATAAGGATACCATCCATGTTCTTTTATACTCTGTATCTTCAAAGGTGATTAAACACAGTGAGTGCAATACATCAGACAACTGCCTAAATTTCACCATGTGTTTATTTAAATGTACTGTGGGAATATCCCCTCTATCACTTTTTAACAAAATACACTTGTAGCAATGATGCATTAAACTAAATGCACGCTCAAGGCAGGATCAGTATCTAAAGCGGATAAAGGATAGGATGTGGCATTGACAGACCAATCAGTCTAATGTTAACCCTGGCCCCAAATACTGGGAAGTCAGATATGGTAAACATTTAGTAAATAATGAGAGATTCTTGCATGATTTATGCCAATCCATATAGTTCTATGTAAAACAAATGTTTCCATACAAACCTTTTTTTTTTTTTTTAAATAAGCTCTTGGTTTTGTGTTATAAGAATAACTGTGCTGATAAATTATGCTCATAATTCTGCAGTGCACTGCGGCAGTAACGTACATATTGTTCAAGCAATTGTATCCCCACACAACACAGTTTTGGTCTGTCCACATCAACATATCCCAATTGAAAAATTAACGTCTTATAAAAATGATGGTAAGCTATCAAATGGATTAAACCTGCAAACTGACATTTGTAAAGGTAAAATGATTATTCAAGACTTGATGTTTCTAGAAATGTCTGAAGTTAAAGAATCTTCACCAAAGCTATTCCAGTGACCTGAAAGAGAATTTAAACTTTCCAATGAAATTTGCACAACACAAAAATTGGTGAAAGGTAAACAATGACATGAGTAGAACACCTACACAGACTGGCTTGAATCACTTGGGAAAACAGGTTTGTTTGAACAGTGTGCATTTTAGGAGAGCTAGATTTATCAACATAAATCCAGGAATAAATAGCATACACTTAAGTTAGAGGGACAGTATTCTTGAAAACTGTAACTCTAAATTAGTTTGGGGAACGTGGCGGAAAACACCCCAGGGAAACACCGTAGCTATTTGTAGCCCCATGAAATAGGGCTGTTGACGGAGGTTCCCAGTGAGGAGAATGGCTGGTCTCTCAAAGACTCATTAACGGGGTACAACTTCAACAATGCAGGAAGGCAGCAGCATGCTCCAAAAGTCCTTGTCTTCTTCCCTGCGCTCCTGCAAACAGTATGACTTTCTAATGGTTATGTCAGCCATTAAATACTAAACTCTGATGGGAAGGCTACTGAGGAACCAGAAAGAGACAGGTAAGAGAGCTGGAGTTTGAGTACAACTGTAGCCAAATTTTCACAAAGCAAAGAAAAAAAAAGCTGGAAAAGGATATTCTGTTAAAAAAAAAAATCTGTCAAGATTTCCTGCAAATATCCAACACAGAGAATAACCATTTCAAAACATCACAGACGTTTCTTTAATCGAATATGTGATGCTTCACATGCCATTTCCCAAACCAAGCAACGCCTTTTCACAATTGCTTCCTAAAAGAGGGTTTTCAAGTAATTCCATTACTGAGCCCACACCTAACTAAAGAAAAGGCACAGCTTCTGGAGGCAGAACTTTGTACTCATCCTCTGCACCCAAAAATTATACAAAGGATTAAATGAGAGCGACTTCCCATGCTGACATTCTCTTGATTCCTCTTGACTCTTTCGATCTCAGGGGTGACACTCACAGGTGTAGCTTTGCAGAGCTGTTCTTTGTACTGAACCTAGCAAACATGGCAGAAGATATTACACAGAGACTTCCGAGTAACAGAAATACAACAGCGGGTTAGACATCATTAACGAGCATACTGCATTTGGATGGAAAATGCCATTCCTTAATAAACACCCACATCTTTCCACATGATACTTAGTACTCACCCTCTTGCAGTTCTTCTATTTCAGACACAGACAATTGATACTTCAACAGGAATACTTCACTCTCATTGATGTTAATCAAAGTGCAAGGCTAAGGAGTTATCATTTTACCATTAATTGATTAAATTAGTCTTTGTGGACAAACAGGAATTAGCACAAACACCACAGACATATTCACTGAGGCACAAACACATTTAACACAGCAGAGAGAAGTGTGCAAGCAATGAAAACGGGGCACACATTGCTAATATTCTTCTGGTTTTCCTTAACTCTCCTTAGTTCAGGTGGATCAGAAATAGTTGTTGCATGTTGAATTTCTTCCTTGTATTTAATCTGCACAATAAATATTACAAAATATTAGCAATTTAAAGAAGATACAGACAAGCACTAAAACACAACAAACATTTTGTAATCTCTCCCTTACACATACTGCACAGCTAGACCACACCTATCAACACTATTGACCTGAAAAGGAACAGTTACATATAACTTCTGAAACAGGCTGCTAGGGTCTCCAATGCATCTTGTTTGATACAACACATCAGAGAGTGCATGTAACAAGCCTAGTATCCTAAAACTCTTACAGTGGGAATATACATCACATGGGATTGTGGCTATCTTCATGATGATTGGGATGCTGCATATACTACTTGGAGATCTGCATCACTCTGACAATGACTTGGTCTTGCTATTATCTTGCAACAGAGTCTACCAGTCCATTTCAGAAACCAAACATTTCACAGATGTGTTCTTAAAAGGGTGGATGACTTCATAGTCTCTTTCAAGTTCTCTAAAAACACACACAGACACATCAGGGAGAATGCAGATGTTTGGATGGATGATGCCTTTGAAGATGCTGTCAGATACTTACTGTTGCTTTTGCCACATTTAATCTCTTCTAAACAGCAGTATGTTTGGATATGGTAGACTCCATAATTTCAAAGATGCACAGAACTAGAATTTCTTGAATTATACACCTATGTACAAAACTGGAATTCAATTTAATGAGAAAGAATTGTAACATTAAGTGGATGTGGTACTAAAAAGAAAGTCATCATATTTTCTGTTTTTCCATATGCTATCCAAAGTGTCATCTTGGACAAATCTGTGCATTGTCTTTGCCTTACTGTCTGTAACTAAATACCTGTCCAGTATTCAGCACATTCAGCTTCAAATCTCTCATGACATGGTAAAATAAACAATACTTGTAGACTGTGCCATCCTTTACAGTGATATGGCATGCTTTCTTTTTCTTTACAATGGTAATAAAACAGCAAAATTCACAAAAACATTCAAAATTGTGTGTGCGGTGATACGTAATAGTTGGAAACATTTTTCATTAGCAAGACTCAAGGAAGGAAAAGTACTTTAAGAACAGCATAATGAATCAATTTTTACAGTTTTATATTAATGTGGCATACAAAACTTCTGTTAAATACATTTCAAGGCTGCAAAATCAAGGACTCAAAAATCAGAAAATGACACAATTAAATGTAACCTTAGTTTTGCCCCTTTTACAAATATGCTCCATATACAGCTTTTAGTATATTTTACACTACTACATTCTTTTTCTCTTTAAGTCTTTATAATCTTCTTTATCTATTACCAAAAGCTGTTTTTCTCAGGAGAATTCTGCCTCATTCATTACACATAATCAACGACCCTTACTAAGTGAGTAGTGTGCATGCGGACCATGACTGATTTTTTTTTCTTCTTTAACTGCTCTAAGGTCCTGCTTTGGTGACAGAATTACTGATTTCTTCAGGAACTTTTCTATGTTGCTCCTCACTACAGCATCTCAGTTTTTCACACACATTAATTCACTAATTTTGCTGTGAAATGAGGAAAAAGGGAATTGTGACAAGGAAAAGTACTATTTTTACTAGAGAGCACAGACAAGTAACAGCTAATCTGGCTACATAATTTTAAAAAACATAGGATTGTACAGCACCTGCATTCAAATGAGAATTCCCATTGAACTGTAGTTTGCAAAATGGAAAACCAGAGCAGGTCCGCCTCCGTGGCAAAGTACAAAATCATATACTTTGGCAATGGATCATCAGGTCTAGACACAGGGACTTGAATTCAGGTTCTTGCTTTTGAGTATTTACCTAGTGACCTTAATAATACTCCCTAAAGGTACCTCTTGGGGAGGCAATTTCTCATGATTTAAAAAACTACAAATGTACATTCCTTCATGTGCCTTCATCTTAAGCCCCTTGTGGTTTGGTTAGATTGACTGCACAAACCCATGAGAACAATCGTAGTTTGTTACCTCTGGGGACACCATCGTTAAAGAAAGAGAAAATATTTGACCAAGGGTACCTCAGATACACACTCACAGCGAGGGAGTGATGACTCTAAATGACCCTGTTTCAGCTCTTCTGGAAGGAAGCACCTATGCACAGGAGCACATCACTCTGCCCACATTTCCCCACATTTGGCCTGTCCACCAAGCCCTTCTACACTTCAGTTCCTCACCCCGGCCTCTTTTTTCCCAAATCCACTGTACCAAATGTCACTTAGTAGATAATTTTCAAATCTCTTCTCCAAGACTTGGTACTTCTGGAGAGTGCCAAATTTTTTAATACAGACAAAACAACTTGTTTTTCTCTAAGCTCATACTTGGAAGCTGCTTTGGCTGAAATTCATAAATAAATAAATAAAACCAAACCAGCCCAAAGTACAGACCCGGAATGGAAAATTTCAATCCAGACAGTTTAGGACTGGCAGAAGTACTAAACCACTGGAAAAAAGGGTCTTTTAATGGAGACTATTAGGTAAGCTTAAGAATTGGCAGTGCTACTAGTCCTTAAAATGCTTCAAAATGTCTGTTGCTTGAGTTTTAATCAGACCCCAGCTTTGTGGTGTTGACTGACATATCACAGGGGTTTCCTCATGGATTTCACACAAACAAAAACAAAATTACAATCTTCCCCCAAAAGCCTTCTTCCCAGTGCTGTGTCCAGCCCTGCCTGTCCCTCAATATAAACAAGTTTTTAAAAAATCCTCAGTTATTTGTAGCTTCTCAGTTCAGATCTAGTTACAGTCCATGGGTCTGATGTTTGCTTTTAAAAGTTCTGTGAGATTTGGACTCCAACTATTTAGGAGGCTGCTTCTTCCAAACCAATCATCACAACAGGTGAGATGAGCTCAACCCTTTTGGCTGTCACCACCTTGTTTTTTAGGATTTCAAAACAGACCGTTCTGATCTTTGTCTCCAATATACATCATCTGGAAGAATCTGATCACTTTCAGAACATGATGCAATGGACTTTTTTGCATGGTTTGGTTGTACAGTGAGTGTTATTTTGGTTTGGTGTTCTGGACTTTTTTGCACTGCAGATGTGCTTCACATCCCATAGTTTCATTTAGCTCAGCAAATAGTTTTAAAGCTGTCCTAAGTCCTTCCGGCTAAATTCAAAGATATGTGTAAAATGTTTAAATCTAATGGAGTCAAAATTGGTGTAATTCACCCTTCCTTTGGGACTCCTGGAAATTACACAATATAATTTCCCTCTTACTGACACATAATTTAAAACTTTCTTGCACATTGCCTTTAAATTTGGCATTCTGCACTTTTAATAAATATTATACAAGACTTAAGTAATCTCAACTACACTACATGTAATAAAATATTTTTTGTAAAATACTAACTCTACACACAGACTAGCAAGGTAAAGGCCATGCTACTTACATCATACCACTAAACACTAATGCATTTTGTGTTTCTTGTGATATGCTTTTGTTCAAGTGTGTTTACTAGCATACTGATCCACCTTTCATTTTTCCCTCTTCACCACTGTTTAGGATTCTAAAACACCAAAAGCACTGTACACTATTTTTCCATTTCACTTTGAAAGGTATTGAGAAAAAGCATTAGAGTAAGACTAGTCCTAATAAGCCTTTCTATGTGTGTGTGAGCGCGTGCGTGTGACTACTCTCGAAATAAATGTCTGCGGTAACTGGAAATGAAATAGGTAACAGAAGATTAGGTTTTTGTTTCTAGAACACCAGTACAAATCTGGCTTAAAAAAAAAAACAAAACAAAAAACATAATTGCACAGGGTGGGGGGAAAAAACAAACCAGAAACACTATTTCAGGACTTAGGACACATGATAGCTCGCACTGAGTCTTCAAATTGCACTGTGACTCAAAATGACAAGATGAAAAGTGATGGATGGAGCAAAGAAAAATTCCAAGGAAAATATGAGTTTTTCAAAATTTTATGGAAATACCCTACCTGACCTTATTTTGGTGGGAAATGCAGTATTTAACACTACTCAGTAAACAAGGAAATTCTAGTAGAATACGTGTCCAGAGTCCCTAATTTGGATTTCAACTAATATTTAAACACAATCTAGTGTCATGTCTATGTGTTACTTTCAAACTTTGTTTTTTAAAAAGCATCTAATCATCAGAAAAGTCATGTCACAAACATAAAAATGGCCCCAGAGGACTCCACACCAAAAATTCCAAACCAGTGAACAATGCAGCTACAAGTGTTTTCTTGCTTGGCAGTCACTTTTCCACTTTTTTCCAAGTTTTGCCATGTATTTATTAGAAGAGCATGTTCTACTTGTAGAAAACTCTTATTTTGATATTTTATTTTTATTTGCCCATTAAAGTGCCAAAGACATTGGACATCCATAGATAAACAACATCAATTCAGAACCAGTCTCATCAGATCCACAGACCAACTTGTCATCAGCATGTAAAGAGGCACAAACCCTCCACCTTTTCACATAGCTCAAGCCTGGACATAATTTTCCTCTTCTTGAAGTGCAAACTGTACCAACCCCTATGTAATACATGCAGACTCTACAGGAACTATACAGATTTTCTTTTTTGCGATATGATATTTTTCTAAATTGCAAATTACAACTGCTGTTCAGTCTGTCATATCGGGAAATACATTTCATGTTTCTCACTCCTGAAAGACAAAACTCCTTCCTCAAATACTTAGTTCAAAGGTTTTCCTGTTTTTCATGATGCTTCAATTTGAAACTCTACCTTTGGACACAGAAGAACTACACTAGAGTGGAGCTCTAACGCTATTAGAATGGAGCTCTATATCCAAAATCCAGTGGAGAGTTGTGTGATACGAAAACGCAGAATTTTTAGTAAACAGGGTGGAAAAAAAATTTGACCACCATTTACTCACATAAGAATAATTAATGTTAATAACACTTACCGAACTAATATTCTGTTGATTTTTCTTTACTCTTTCAATCTCTGGAGTCTCTTTTACAGCTGTGCCAGCTCCTACTTCCTTCTTATAAAACACCTTCATTTCCCCAAAAGAAAAAGTAATTACGAGACTGTTAGCAATGCAAGAACAAGTTCTCATAAAAGGGCTGAGCAATTTTCCAAGTTCCAAATAGGTCTGCCTATAAATCTTACTAAGAAAGCAAATACTTTAATTTTTCATAAATCAGACCAATTATCAATAACTACAATAACATTCTGTTTGTTTTCAACTGTAAACCAGATAATCGATTATCATCCTTTAGACTGACCTCAACCATTTGTAAGCATTGCTAATGATAGTTTTAACTTTGGAAATAATGTTAAAATTTAGATCATAGTCTATAAACTTTTAAAAATGCAACTTTACGCTTGAGTAATCTCACTCATTTCAATGTATTTGAACGTGCATGTACATGCAAGATTTTAATTTTTTTTTAATCTTCAGATCTCAAAATACTCTGAGAAGTGAACAGATATTATTATTTCTCATTCAGCAAACTAGAAAATTGACATATTCATGATAAAATAACCAGAACAGCCAGAGCTACAATCCAAGTCCTGCAATTTTTGGTTTCTGGGTTCAAGCCAGAAAGCTGAGGACTGCATCTAAAAACAAAGTTCACTTCTGAAAAGATACACATGCTGTTTATATAATTCTCCTCTCTATTTCAATTGTTTCAGTGAAGGATAAAACACAAAGCGCATCAGTAGAATCGATCATTCAGTTACCGAAAGAGACAGTAAATAACTGCTCCACAAATTCCAAATGTGGCTATAATTTAAATAACCATGGAGCACCAGTTCACGCTGTAAAACTCCTTTAGGAGTTTTATTTGAATTTCAGTATTTGGTGTCACAGCTGTTGCCATTCCAGTAAGTATTTCCAGGCTGGTAATGTAGAAACAAGTCTGATCCTGGAGTTCATAAAATAAATCTTTACCATTTAGTATTTCTGCCTTTCTTAAACCAAGATTTATTTAACTTTTTTTATTTCCTATCAATAAACCTTAAACAATAAAACATCATTCTCGATGCATTTCTCCTACACCCTGTAACCTAGTGTGACCAGTACTGCCAAATATTCTAGAGGAGAGTGAATTATTTATGTCCATAACTCATTTTTAAATATTCAGAAAACCTTTAACAATTTAGAATTTTGTTTTACCATGTGAAAACAGAGACAGTTTATGAGTATGAACTCAAAAATTCTTCTGCAGCAACATGTCAGTACAAGGTAGAAAGATTTACATAGTGGACTGAACTAAAATATACTTTTCTTCTCTACCAAAGAGGGAGTGGTAAAAAATGTTGGAGCTAGGAATTTTTCTATGAGAGAGATGACTGTGCAGTAAATATCCTATTGTATATCATCTGCCAAATGAGCTAGTGAGCTAAAAGCAGCACTTATCTGCAGAGCTAGCTACTTTCTTTGTCCCTTAAGGCAGGAAGATACTTAAGACGAAATCCAAAAATCAGAAGCCTATTAGGAGTCATTAATTTTTTTATATTGGGGCTGCTCCCAACTATATCTTAACTTAGTAAGAAGTAACTTACCTTTATAATCTAAATTGCACAGAATGCTGAAAGATTAAAATGTAGAGAAAGAAAAAAATAATTCAATCACAGCTATAAACTGCTTTCCTACATTTGAAGGATTCAGTTCAGAAACAGAAAAAGGATGATCACAAAATAAAGCAAACACAAATCACCTCAAAGACAAAATATTTTTATTTCCTATTATCTAGTACACTAACAAAGAGGATAATTGTCAGCCTTAGCACTGAAAGCTCAGACTGGCCTACAGGGCTGCAAAGGGTTCAGATGCATCAGAAGCTTGTCAAGTCTTAATTAAATAGTGGAAGGTTATTATGTGCCTGGTATCTAACTGTTAGTGAGTCCGTACTGCCAGACCCGCTGACCTATTTGAGGACTCAATCAAAAGCTATCAAAGACTGGAGCAGGGAGGAAAGCAGATCAGTAGATGCTACCTTGGACCCCCTCTGTTACATGAAGTTTCGGCGCAGCATGTTAGGATGCCAGTGACATGAGATACGGTGCTGATCACCGTCACACCATGCAGCAGAGCACCATTCAAAACCAAGAGGCAACAGATTACAAGAAACAAAATTGGGGCCAGTGGGCCTGTCAACAGCTCCTGTAAAGGTGTAGCTTTCAGCTGCTCTCATCTGAAGGAAGAAAAGGAGCGGGTAACGGCTGGAAGACATTACAAGAGAGACCACTGCCTAGAGCAGTCTCAGAGACTTTTCTTCTCTCCTCTCCCCGCAGGCTTTTAACCCCCTAGTGAAGCTGCAGTGATATGGGATAGCTGCAGGTAAACACCTCTGAGAGAAACTAATTGACCTTGTACTTGTGCAGGGTTGGAGAAGCTGAAAATATCTCTAAGTTAAAGAACATCTGTGTCAGATAATACTAAAATATTTATGTAACTTATATTCCTTTCTCTCAAATCATTGGCTTTATTAGTATTACTTAGTCTGCCATAAAAAGCAGCCACTAACTGGACAGGCTTTGGTTCTGGAGGCTATATTTACTCCTCCTCTCTTCTCTGTTATACTACAAGCAAAGCCAGAATTACAAACAGCAGAATTAATGGGCCCAAAAAGGAAATGGAACTGAATGCATCCCAAACTGGGCAATTTTAGAATTCTAAGCTCGTAATTTATATTTAGGGATAAACTGAAACTTAAATCTAGCATAAAATTAAAAAAAAATATATCCAGTATAACATAAAATCATTAGACATATATATTTATGAAACCTGATTTGTTCTAATTTTATACCCGAATCTTGATATTCTGTACATATGATAGGAAACAGATGAAAAATCTTATACGCATAGTAACAAGCCTTAGATTTTTTTTGTCCTTTTAAATAAAGTACTTCCTGGGGCTTGATGGAAAAAGAAAAAAAATCTTCATTTAAAAATAACTCGGCTTGTGGTGGCAAGGTGGTATAAGTGGTTTAGCAATTCAAAATAACAGTGTCACACCTAGAAAAGCTGGGGTATTTTTTTTACCGAAAGAAATAAGTGATACAGCTTTTGCCAGGAAAATTATGCAAATGGTTCAAAGGACATTTACTCATAAGTTCCCTAGTTCATGCTGCAGCACAAGAGAGCCTATTTAAACTGAAAAATATCTGAAAAGTTGCAAGTGAAAAGAGAAGCACTATTACTCACTGAACTGATGTTTTTCTGAGTACTTTTTATCCTCTCCATCTCTGGAGTGTCTGGGACAGCAGAATAGTTACAGAGCATCTTCTCTGCTTCATCTTTGTACATTTTCTGAAAAATAATTTTAAAATGTCTACTTCCTGCTTTCTTGGGCTCAGAATATCCAAACTGCAACAAAAGATGCTTATTGCTGATGAGCCTCAACATGCTTGTACAGTATGTGTTTCAACCCCTCTCCTCCATGACACTGTTACCATTGTCTGTGTGGGTCACCTGACACTGTGTCCCACACTGAAAATATATAATATATACAGAAAATATATTCTCATATATGTTATATATTTTCCTTTCACTGTCAGGATATACATATCCTTCTCATTAGCTAATGTAAAAAAACCCGCAAGTAGATGTAAACAATTAAAGGCAATTTACATGTCATGACAGACCTAAATACAAATAAGAATCAGGCAGTAAGATTTTTTTACTACATGTAAATTAATTTAATATGGGTATGAAAGCCTCTACAGAGCTAGAGAAGTATTTTGAGCCATATATGTCAAGCACTCATTGTCACACAGAATTAAAGAATTAAAACATTCAGCCTTTGAACTATGCCTACCTGGCTTGCTATTTCTGAAGCCCTTTTGACCCGTTGTATTTCAGGAGTATATGGGCCAACTTGCATCCCTTTTCCTATAATTTCAGTCTCCAGATCCTTTTTATATTCTTTCTGAAGAAAAAAGAAGGAAAAAAAAAAAAAACATAACTAATTCTGCAGTTATTTGTACACGCTGTCTTCAAAGCTATTCTGATAGCACTGGTCAGACTTTAAAATAAATTCTTCTATTTCTTTAATTTTTTTGTTGTGCACTGCTGATTCCTTTTAGCCCAAGTATGTTCGAGAAGATTTTCTATTTTTAACACCTCATTGTGTTTTACTACCGAAGTAATCTTAAGAGATTCATTCTGTACTCACCTGGCTTACAATTTCAGAAGCTTTTTTGGCTCGTTGTATGTCGGGTGTATCCATGCCCACTCCCATTCCCTTTCCTTTAATTTCATTCTCCAAGTCTTTCCTGTATTCTTTCTGAAAAGAATAGCACTGGAAATACTCACGTCTGACAGCCAAATTCTTAAATTGTTCCTACTTTAATCTGTCAGAGTCCAATGAACAGCATTCTTAAAACACCAAATAACTTTTGATTCAACAGCATTAGCTTTATAGGATCTATCTATGAGACACCTATGCTGTAGCTGCTGACCAGTTGAAAAATTATTTTAACAGACTGCTAACTTCAAATCTGATGTAGCCTTTCACATCTACCTGTCTTTGCAGCCTCAATCACAGACACATGTAGATGAGACTTTCTCCCTCGGCTGTGCTTGGCAAGACTGGGGTCATAAGGCTTTAGCATCTCTCTAACTCTGTTTATCATTTGGCCCTAACTAAACAAGCAGCTATTTAGACCTAAAAGCAGTAGGGCCTACAGCTACTGAATACAGCCCAGGCCAGGCGTGGTTCATGAGGAACAAGCACCACCTGCAAAAGATGACGGAAAGGTCAAAGTTCTGGGAAGTCTTAACTTTCCCCCGTACACTGATTATGCAACTTTTAGACTCTACGCAGCTCAACAGATTAAGTATTTGGTGAAATACCAAATTTGGTGAAATACATTGGTCACCACCTGGAATTCTCAATGACAATAATTTGTTGCATTCTGTCAAATGGAAAGCTTGCACCAGGTACAGTACTGACCATGCTTGCAATTTCAGAAGCTTTCTTGGCTCGTCTTATCTCAGGAGTATCTGGACCAACTTGCATGCCCTTTCCTTTAATTTCAGTTTCCAGGTCTTTCTTGTATTGTTTCTGTGAAAATAAAACTTCATACATTATATTCACAATAGCCAGAGAGTTACAGGTAGATTTTTGCACAAGAGATCCAATTTAAGATTTAGAGTAAATCAAAAATCTCAAGTTAAGAGTCACAACTCTTAAGAGTTTTGGCAAGCTTTTGTCAGGAAAACACATAACAAACTACAGGAGGGAAACTTGAGGAGATATTCACTGAATATACAAAACTTTAATTTGGCAGAGAGTGGGGGGAAATCAGTCCATACAGCTTGCTACAATTATCCTCTAAGGTAAAGGGGAAGTTTAGCTCTGCAGAACAGAGTGTAATAAGCCGGTACTTGGTGCCAACGTAATTGAAACACATTTTACTTTTAAGAAAATATTTTATTTATGAAAAGACTACGTGTTAGAAATTTAATACCATACAGAATTGTTTCCAGTCAACTTTCAGAGCAGGAAGTTGTAATTTATTCATTTAATAGGTCTTTCCTGAACCCCAGCCATTAGGCAAGTGGCAGCACTCATCCATGATTGTTGCTTTTTCCCCACAACATAAATTATAAATAACGATAACTAGGAAACAAAATGAATATTTCATCTTCAGCTTATCCAAGCAAGGATATATTTCTTGTTCATCAGCAAATGATATTAAAATGTAATACTGAAATATTGTATACAATAGCTGTACTTTTTTTTTTTAATAAAAAATTGAAAGATTCTCAGGCAGTGCTATTTCTAGTAGTAATCATTCTTTTCTATTATAGTTTATTCTGCCTGTGGAAAACAGGTTTTCTTTTTTCAAAATAAATACATATCATTAAAATATTTTCTTCTTACTTTTCCTGTTAACTATTTTTTAGGCTGTACATTAGTTAGAAAGAAGAAGGAAAATATCCTTCTATTCAATGCAATGGTCTGATCACTTATGGCATGAAGTTACAAGAACAAGAGCAAAAAGACTTTGTCTTCCATCTCTGTCTCACTCTGATGTGGAAATAAATGCGATAAAACAACTCTCAACTTCCCAAACCACATTTTTTTGTAAAAATGTAAGTTAATCTGTGAGAAGACATCATCTCTCTCTTCCTCTCTGCTAAAGGTGGAATGGCAGATGTTTCCTCCTAGCTTCCTAAAGTGTAAAACACCACGGAAAAGATAATCCTGAGGGTTACAGCTGTATATTCCTGCACTTGTTTACAGTGGTAAGGTTGGCCCTATGCATGGCATTCCCTCTGGTTCTTATGGCTATGTATGTATATGTGTGCAAATAAACATTATACCTATTAAATGAATATAAAATATATAAAATAAATATATATATTGCTCTGAAAGAATGACTCCCCAAAGGTGTGAAGTGCAGCAGGAGCTTTGCCTTCCCTCTTCCCTCCCCACACCCTCCAGCCCCAATGCTGCTTCCCAGGCAGCCTGTGCAAGCTCATCCACAGGAGCTGCAGCTGTGCCAGCTTTGGAGCTTGCAGCTCTGCTGAGCACACAGGCTTGCTGAGCACGAGTTCCTCAGGGAGGTCTCCAAGAGACAGTACAGATCAAGAGCAGTCTTCCACTTCCACTCCCAGCCCTTCACAATGGGAGTAGATCGCACACTTAAGTGCTTCCACATAACCTCCGGAGCAACTTAGACCAACACAGTTAATACCAAAGTTCAGTTCTAAAAATATACTCTGGAAGGAGCCTCCACCTGTCTATTTGCATCGGATGAACCACAAGCTCAAGAAAATTCCTTTCTTCAGGAGCAACTCTATTTTTGGAAAAGGTTTTCACAAGTAGAATAATTTGTTTGGATAAAAGATCTTCCCAAGATTCCTGGCAGTCATTACCAATATTTATTTTCAGATAGCAGGTACATGATTCCAAAAAACTCAAAATTATTTCATTAACTTTTCTTTACAAGTCCATTAACAGTCAACTCTTTTTCCATTACAGTATTAATTATACTAGCTGAACAAATAAATAGATGGAAAAATGAACCCAGTTTTGAATGCTGTATCTACTGACCCCACTAACAATTTCCACTGATCTTTTAATTACCTGAAAATCTGAAATATTTGTCATAAGTTGTTTTTTTTCTATATTCTTAAAGCAAAACAGAAATAGCTTAAGTTTTAATACTTACGTATTTCATTGTAGAGCATGTAAAAAAAATTTGAACATTTTCAGTAGAGTATAACAGAGAGTGAACTTTCCGTGACACCAATAACCTTGACTAGCATAACATACCTCATTTAGTATCTGAGCTGCGTTTTTCACTCTAATCAAATCTGGTGTATCTTCAAACACTGTCATTCCTTTTCCTTTCATCCCTTCTTCCAAATCTTTTTAATATTCTTTCTAAAGATTTAAAAAAAAAAAAAAGAGAGAGATTTCTCCACTTAATATTGTGTGCAAGATCTTGAAAAGAAATGCCACTTATTAAATGTCTGAAGGGTCTCTTTGAAATTTCTATGAAAAATGAATTAGCTGAAGTACAGGTTTCAGAGTTAAAATAGAATTGGTAATTATGAAATCAAAAGGTACAATGTTGAAAAAGTGAAAAGGTTTTAATGTAGTCATGTATTTTCCTGTTGTGCTCTTGAAAAATAGTCCTCTCCTATACAGCGCTAGCACATTGTTTAGGGGCCTGAGCTGCTTCTCTACAGACATTTTAACTGCAGTAGCATTTGCTTTTACAGACCAATATATGCTGTGCTGCAGTTTCTACCGCTGTTCCACTAATGACATCACAATCAGGATGGATGCCCTGAACACTACACTAGGACCTGTTAAAATGACTGCTTGATAAATTATAATGTAGAAGCAATATTCCTACTATATCACTTCTGTGCCCCTCAAACACTGCACTGATATGATCTATCAACATTTAGCAACTGCAGCCTCCAGAGTACTCACATGTTCAGTATAAAATTAAAAGCACACTAGAATGTGCCCATGGACATTTGGTTCTTTTTCTTCCCAGTTCCTAGAGAGCTGATGTAAGCCCACTGAAGTTAAAGTTTTGTAAGGATTTTTAATTGCTTTTCCCATCTCCAGTTTTCAGTTAGTTTTTTTTAAGCAAGGAAACTAGAAAAAATTTAAAGAAACTATTTTCCGGAAGAATTTATATAGACATGAATTAACACTCCTAATCACGTATTAAATTTCATAAGCAGTAGCAAGCACCTTTGTCTCTGTATAAGCTCTTTATTTAAACAAAAGGAAACCAGGTATTTTCAAAGACGCTTCTCTTTACCATCAGAAGCATGTCCTACAACAAGCAGGAAACAACTTCTATTGATTTAGAATTATTAAATTCAGCTATCTCTTCTGAAGGAGTTGTGAATGTGGTTCCAGAGAAGAAAGTTCTTATTGTTACAAAATGCAAAATATTTGCAGAATTCTCTACAGTGGGAAGGCAATAGAATAAGCTGGAACACAGCTGACACTTTAAAAAAAAAAAAATAAATAAATAAATACTTGAACAAATAATTCATTTTTAATAACTCCAGGTTCTTCTTGTTTCATGCAGTACCTATCTAAAGTTTATTAGGAACCTTCACGCAAAAATACTGAGCTATATCCTTGACTATGAAGAAATACATCATTTTGCTGAATCTTGAAAAATAATAATTAATTTGACTTATGTAATCTTTGGTTTTGAAACCTGTTCCTTGAATGTGGATATAAAATCATTTGAAATTCATGCAGTTATGCATTAAAATACCGTTTTCATTTTCTCATATTCTTCCCCTCTGGCTTACAAGCGTGGTTTACTCCCTAAGTAATGAGTCTCAGAACTTGAGGAGGTAAGAATTAGGGAACATCTTAATGCATGTAGCACTATGGAGGGAAGTTACATCAAAATTTTCAAAGATGAACATTTACAGCACATCTGCGACTATGCATGCACTAACCACTTCTGTGGACATTCAGCACGCAGTGAGATTAATTCAATGAAATGCAAGCATTTGCATTTTTCCCTAGTCAGTAGGCATACATGAGACGTATGCATAGAATGGTACTGCACAAACTAGACCTAGCTTGAGAGTTGTCTACCTGACAGCCAAGCTTATGGGAATAAAATAGTAAGCCTAATCTATCGAACCAACCAATACTCAAAATCTAACATGAAAACAGTTTTGAATAACAATATAAAAAGACTAAAGATAGAAGGATTCTCAGTTACGGGAAAAAAGTGATTTAATTTACACTGCCACAGACAACTGAAGAACATTGGACAAATATTAAAGAAACAGTGGGCATACAGAAAACCTGCACCTTCTAACAAAATTTGCTTAAAGCAGATTATGCAATATCACAGCTATATTATGGAATTTTGGTCTTCTTTATTTTCATCCATAACATGTATGATAGATAATGATTTCAATTAAATTAGTTAAAAGTGACTACACACAGCTCGAGGCATCCATATAACCACAACAGACTATCACAATCCTGAAATAATTACTCAAAAGGAAAAACTGCCATCTGGACACCAACAGAAAGCCTCCTTTCCACCCCTCCATCTATCTGGAAAGCAAACTCCAGGCCCTCTCCAAAACTCTATCAAACAGATGTCTTTTGCAGCATGCCTGGAAGGTCACCAAATTTGGGCTATTTGAGCCCAGGGGAGGAACAAATTCCAAAACTGAGGCCCTCAGAGGGAATGTCCTGCCAACGATCCATTTTCTATGGAGTCATCTGATTTGTTCGTTTAACTGTTTTTCTGGTCCAGGTGTGCTGAGCTTTATCATTTCCTTATATTCATAAGGAAACTTCAAAAAGTATCGATTCTTATTGCAGGACTATTCAGAATATAAAATGACACGCTGCAATTTCTACTCATGAAGTCACTTTTGTATTTAGCTACCAAGTTAACCATAAGTTGTTCAGCACTCGGTAGCTTGTAGTGATGCTGCTTATTGCTCATTTACATCTTAACAACAAAAAAAAGAAATAAAAATCCTTCACCTCTTTCAGAAGGCTAGTGACTTGTTTTATATGCAAGAACTCTGGGGTCTTGTCTAAATCCATTGAGGGTCTTCCCTTGATCCCTTCTTCAAAATCTTTGCGATACATTTTCTATTGAAGCAAAAACAACAATTAGTGGTACATGCAGGTGCATTTCCAAGCATATTCCAGAAAGAACATTGTAAACAGACTCAATACTAATTCCACCATATTCTCAATTTATAAAACCTTTACAATCTGCTTCATCCATTTTCTTAACCTGAGTACAAGATGTCTGTTAGCTTCTCTGTTGATCTAAATTTTGCTAGTTCAAGCACACAGTTTTACTAACCTCACTTTGCATCTTTTGAGCCTCCTTTGAAACTTGATACATTGGTGTATCCACAAACTCCAGCATTGTCCTGCCTTTAGATTTTTCATAATTTTCTTTGTACTTGACCTAGGAAAATGAAAATAAATGCTGTTAACAGCTGAGAGAATGTGAGTTCTGATTGCTTGCTATGGCGACAGACAAATCCTGTCTTAGCCATACTCCTTAGAGGTTTTGACTTGGAAGAATCCTTCCAAATTTAACCTGTTGGAGAAATAGAGCAGCTAGACAAGGAAATTTTTTCTGGAGCAATTTATTCCTTTGCTTCAGAATGTCAGGCCTAGAAATGGTGAACTTTGAAGACAGCAGGAGTGAGGAGCATCAATCACAATCCTTAAACTAATTGCAAGATTTTGGTTGAATGACCTATGTCTCAACAGTTGGCAGCTTTTCAATAGGATCCCCTGGCATGTTTCCATTAAACAACACATTTACTGTAAAAACAACAAAATCTGTTTCACAACCAGGCCCCACAGGTCTCTCTTTCAGGCTCAGGAGCACCATTCTGAAATGCACTTTTGTTTGTACCTGTGGGAAGGAAAGCTACTGCCTCAATAGAGTCTGGTCTTGCACCAACATTCCCCTCACAGCTACCAATGACCAAGACCTTAAAGCTAGCAGCAAAATCATATTGAAGGACAGAGGGTTAAGACACCAACATACATTTTTTTGCTAAGTCACAAAGCAAATACACTTTGTTTGGAAACCTGGAGAAGCCTTCTGAACTCATTCATTCCCACTCTTTTGATTAAGATGGGCAAACACATTATTTAGCTCAATCAATCAGCCTGTGATATGGTGGAATATTCTACACAAGCCATAAAGGAAAGCAAATAGCTACAAATTAAAGTATGATATTCAGAATGAGTAATATTTTAATTTATTTGTCTCTTCAAAACTAATAATGTCTGATTTGAGAAAAGTGTTAATCTCTTTCCCTGTCAGGCTTCTGCACTAAGTTCGGGTCCTGCAAAAACACTCTCCTCTCTCCTCATGGGGCGCTTCTGATTGAATATGCACTGTACATCACTGTAATTTGTCATGCAGTTTTGTGCCTGATTTAATCACTGTTAGAATGCTGCATTTTTCTCTTTGCAAGATATATTTATGATTGCGTATACCTGACTTTGAAGCACTGCATTTTCTGTGTGATGGATTTGTTCAGCTGTATCCGGGGTGAAATGATAGAAGCCCTTGCTTTGCTTAAATGATTTCTTATATTCATACTGAAACAAAAAATATCCAAGAATGTTTTCACAAACAAAATCCAGAAGGTTTTGTAATTTAAATACCATTTAAAATAACTATGAGAGAAACAGCATAAAAGAAACTATATTTTAGGCCTCCCAACTCAGGAGTTCCACTGCTAAATTTGAATTTAAAATACTGTGATGAAATGAAAAAAGGATATGATGAAAAATAACTTTTGTAAGTTCTTAGAGAAAACACTTGTCCTGCTCATCCAAAAGTCAAATGTTTATGTTCGCTAAAAAATGACCATTATTATTTACATTTGAAGTGCAGAGGAACACATATGATGGTCTGCATTTGCCTCCTAGTGGAAATAATTATAAATGTCACACAAAAAAATCACTTCTGTAGTGGAAACTAAAATTATCTCCATCTGTAGATACAGACTTTCTACTTTTACTCCATTCCTCAACTAATGGAACAAAATTTAAGAAAAAAAACAACTTTAAAAAATCGAATGAGGTAAATCGCACAAGCTTTTGCTACACTAAACTACAGGCACGAGATTCAGTCTCTTAAGTCCTATTTATTCACCCTGTTCCATAAAATGAAACACATCTAAGTTCCCTTTTTTTTTAGCCTGTAGTTCATTAGCATCTCAAAGTCTCTACAATAGGAACAGATTTAAAATGTGCAAAACAATAAACTAGCTGTTGTACATATATCAGTGTTTTTAATTTTATGTTTCCATAGTTCATGCCAAAGAGAATTACATGTATACCACATGAGGGGAAAGTTTCACCTTGTGAACTCTCTTCCTCATCAAAATAAAGAAAATAGGATGATTTTGACCTGTCAGAATCAGTCTATTTGTGTCCAAACATGCCCATCAAGCTTTCCTCTTAACTGCTAGAATTAATTCCCATGGAAGTTGACGTACAACAGCTTTGCATTGGTATTATAGTATATGTGTTTCATAAAGTTGCACACACTTCTACACTCTAGGTCAATCAGCAAACCAGTTCAATCAACCATATTAGTTTATGAGTTTAATTAACCATATAGGTTACAATGTATCACACCGAGACAGATGTAGCTATGTTACGCAAAAGATGAAGAGAAGCATAAAGTTCAAGGGAGAAGGGTGTACTACAGGGAAACAGCACAATTGGTCAATTAGCAAGAAGCTCTGTGTTTCAGAGGGGAAAAAAAAAAAACAGACCATGCAATCAGTCTTTGGAAATCAGTTAATGGCACAGTCAGGAAGACTGTTTCATACAGTGGAAGCAGACTTCAAGAAAGATTTGGTATGAGCTGTGAAGAGACAAGGCGGAGAACACAAAGAAGGTACTGGAAAAGCATGGAGAAAGGCAGGAGAGTAAGCCATGTTAAAATCAAAGAGGTGACATGGGGAGGTCAAATCTGAGAACGATTTTGAAAATGGGATTTCTGTAGAAGACAAATAGCTAGTGGAGACCTTAGGGTTGACAAAGCATTCTTCTTCCTGCTCACAGCAAGAAAAAATATCCACCAGCATCTGGACAATGCAAAAATCAGAGACTTAGTATTTATGGAGTCCTCAGAAGAGGGCATAGACAATATGAATCAACCCCTCCTAGGCAACAGAAAGAAATAAATTTTGCAAGAAGTGAGCTGCCTTAAGGGAAAGTCCAGGTTTCTATCTCATTAGAGATAAGATGACAAACTGATGAAGTTCATTCTGAGGGTGTTCATTTAATCAGCAAAAAGAATGCCTATCTTACCTTACACTGAAGGAAACTAGAATTAGGCCAAAATGCACATGAAGAATGCAGAAAGTGAAAGCTATCAACTCATTTATTACCCATACAAAAGGGGATAGTCAGTGTTAGCTTCACATATCAGAGTGAGACAGATAAAAAGCAAGCTTCAGTTCACCAAAGAGCAACACAAAAATCAAGTACAGACAGGAAGGCTGGATTATTTTGATTATTTTAGACACAAGCTTCCATAAGCAGGCACTGACTCAGAAGATGACCCAGTATGCTCCTAGTCATTAGGGCTAACCCTTTGTGTATGAAGCGCTCACCTCCTGCTGACCGTGAGCAATCCTCCTTCCCAACACCACCCACTCACACTTCCCAACACCACCCACTCACACCTCTCCACAGCAGTTCTGCGGCCCTTCTGTGGTTTCTGGAGTAAAGACGACAAATGCAGCTAACCAGCCTACAAGAACTGCGCATGTAGCATAGGTGCTCTTGGAGTGGGAGAGAAGCTTCAGCATTGCACAGAAGCCAGGGGTTTCCTACCTCTTCTTCCCCATTTCAACCCCCATCGCTATCCTATGTCAGACCACCAGCCCCATCAAGGGGCATGTCTTGTTACACGGCAGAATGGAGTATGTGCCTATTACCTGATCCAGTGTAAGAAGCCTCAGACACTGATCAGAGAAGAAAGGCTTAGCCAGAAAAGCTCTAAGGGAAGCTAGCACTCAAGAGGCTGTTGATGGCAGAAGTCCAAATATTAAACTAGCATAATGGTCACTCCTGTACAGACACTTGCAGATGAAAGCAGTAAGAAAGATCTTAGGCAAAACAAGGTTTGCAAGGAAAGAAGTATCTTAGATCAACAAAGGAAAAAAACAGACAAGGTTTCAGACATATAAGAAGAAATACTCAAGTACCAGAAGTCTCTGTGATTCTTACCCAGTACATTAGTTGTTCTAGTAACTGAAATATCTCTCCCCAAAAGCCCTTCTTTCTCCACTACATCCCCCAACTATTATGTTTACAACACTACAGTCTACTACATGAGACCATGAAGCAAGTACCAAAAATTTATGTATTCTACAGTGACTATACATACTACATTCCTTACTACATATATTTTTCAGATCTTTCTTATAAAGGCAACTTACATCACTATGTGTTTTGCTGATATTTAAAGCATGGTTTAAATATAGCAGGTTTGGTAGATCAGAGGCTGGATCATGTAGGCTTTCCAAATCTTTCTTGTAATTCACCTGGAAAGAGAATTCAGGTTATGTAAAATAAAGATTAACAAAATAATTCACAGCTTCATATTACACCGTGGCCGTCCAGAAACAGAAAGCAAAGTGCTTGCGCCTGAACAACCTCTACCAGCCACTAGATGGTGGTCATTTACTATTATTTGGAGGAAAAGGAAAAATCAATACCGGATTCATTCTACTGAGCAAATATTTGGGAACTACTCAAACTTTTCCTCAAAAAGGACATTTACAACAAAATCACACTTTGTATGACTTTTCAGACTAGAAAGGAATTATTATTATTATTTTAAACACTGTTGATTCTTGTTCTTTTTCTCTTGATTCAGGAATTACACTAACTGTCCAAATAAAAAAGTTGGATATAAAACAGTTAAAGGGAAGTGTTCCTGGATATTTTATTTAATGCACATTGCTTTCAGCAAAGATAAGCAATATAGTCACCTAATGCACTTCATTAAGTGGCAGAAGATAACTTCCTATCAGCCTATAGTAGGATTTTCCATACTTCTGATAGCTGGATGCTCATCTTTACAGGAAGAAGACTAGCAACCTTACCTATCTTGGATGACAAATCTTTTAAACTAACACCTTTAGTCACCTCCACGTATGTACCATGCTCTTCACTGATTTAGGCAGACTTCAAATCAACAATACTCAGTTTGCATCTCTCTTATAATAATAATTACTTCAATGAATTTTTTACTAAACATTTAGATTTCGGAAACAATTACATATTCTGTTGGACCCTTCCCAGAGCTGGCCTTTCCCGTTCCCGTTGGGTGGTGCCCCACACTTTGGAAACGCCAGACTACAGAGTGAAGGCTTATCTCTTGGCTATCTGGGATCATGGCCCCAAAGAAGAGCTCACATTTTTAGCATTAGACACACTGCTAAATATATCATCCCAACAGCATTATCGCTCGATATAGATGTTTTCTCCAATCTGGCTCCAGCAGCAGGCACCCATTGCTGAATCTAGTGACTCTTGTACTTTGTAATACCATTCAGAAGATCAACCGTCAGAACGAAGTCTAAAAGATAGACAACCAAATCTGAGCTGCTCATGCAATCTCCTTCTACAACCACTGGAGAGATGCCAGCACTTCGCTCCTCTAAAGACAGGCATCTACGACAGGTCAGAACAATTGCCCTCTAGACCTGTTTATTTCTTTTCCGAATACAAAGGCACCGAATACAAGGCGATTAGCTCAGAGCAAGCAGCCATACCTTTTGACACACAAAGTTAAGCGAGATGAATCTCATCTAAAATGGTTATGAAAAACTCTGCAGGCCCTTGGAGAAAGGCTTTGTCAGAAGCAGAGGAAGAAATGGATAACATGCTGTACCTGCTATACAGACACACTGTACAGCAGAGACTGCTGCTCAGAGTAATTCATAAGATGGAAAAAGAAATTCTGCTTGAGAATAAATGTTAGGTTTTTCAGGATGTAAATGCATGTAAAATACAAAGCAAATTCACTTACATCACTTGCCAAGGTGGATGCAATCTGTGTTTGCTTGAAGGAAGCACTGTCAAGAGGATTGTACTGGTGGCTCTTCATTTCCTTACTGAACTGCTCTTTGTATTTCACCTTCCACCAGAACAAACATATCTAATATTAACATGTAGCACTTAAAGAAGGCACAGAGAATTCAGACTACAAAGGAGCTTATTAAAGGCAATTGCCTTATCCATAAATCTTTAAACAATGAAGATGTTTAAAGAAGCTCAGTTTAGCCACACCTGTGACTGTCTTGTGCTGGTTTCAAAGTAATATTTATGTATCCGACTTTTACTAAAATAAAAAAATAATTTAAAATTGTCATATGCAATTACTGGTGCTGAAGGATTTATAAAAAGGAAACAGAAACAAAACCATATGACTCACCTGAGTAACCAAATAAACCAGAACTGTTTAACTAGCAATAATAATCTACTCGCTGAAAATCATTCAATTCATAATTAACATCAAAAATGTGTTTTTAACAAAAAAACAATTTATAAGATGAATAAATTGTAAAACTTGTCAAATAAATCACTTGTAAATTTTTGAAACTGAGAAGTCAGAATCAAACTTCCTACTCATCCATCTTCCCACCTCCAGGTCCATGTGTTACTCGCGCTGTCCTAGGCTGTCACCAGAGCCCCCAGGTCTATTTTTAATTCTGCCAGAAATTTCCCATGAGACCCAGAGGAATCTCTCTGTAGTACAGTCCCTTCGTGGGGACAATGCCTACCTCATTACAGTGTTAGAAAGCATAATTAAATGACTGTCTGCCATCACTTTCACTCTCTTCTTGTTCAAAAGAAAAAGGGGGAATGACGAGACGTGTAAGAGGAAATGAGCAATACATAAAAGTTGAGGCAATGGCATTAAAAGTAAATAAATCACAAAAATTCCATAAAACATGCTGAAGAACTGAATTCAGAATCTGAAAATATGAAATCAAACAAATAGTAAGTCTCCCTCCCTTGCCCCCCTTGTTGTGCATGATCATCAAACATCTGGAGACTTTGCACACATGCCTCGCTTCTTTCCAACAGCTGGGCATAATGGAGGAGAATAAAGTTCAGTCTCAATTATGCTGCTTTCATGAATGTTAGTCAGACACCCGATATCTGAGCCTATGCAACATCCATTATAATTTACCACACTCTGCATTAAATAAATAAGCGGCTTTTTCCTTACTCCTTTTTTCTCTATTCCCACATGAATGTCTGATAAAGTGGTTAAACCACCTCAAACAATCTCCTTCAAAATTTTTTTTTTGCTCAGCTTTAGTTGTGGAAAGAATTTTCTTTTTCCTTTTTTGTTTTTCCTTGCCTCAAAAGACTCTCAGCATGGTTTACCCTACACAATCTCATTACGTTTAGCCACGATGCCAAATATTTCATTAATCAGGATAACAAGAAACCAAAACTAAGCCACCCAAACAGAAACTAACCGTATATGTTCAAGAACTACATTATGATTCCAGCACTTATGTTAATTTTTCAAAGGAAGGAAACTCTAAAACATTGTTACTTTTAAAGAGAAACTTTATCTGAACACATGATGAACTTCATAATCTTTCACACTAACTCTAGAAAAGAATAGGTAGGTTCATCTGGTTCATATTGTTTGATATTTGCCTTGGCTTTGGATCAAGTGCAAAAGCATATATCTGAATAAAAAGACACTGCCTTTGTCAAAGGCAAATCTACATTCTGTACAAGCAGTGAAGGAATAAATCAGGGTTTTTCTCTTTTAAAAGGTGTATCCAAAACTTGCCTTCTAATAAAAATCAGGCAGTGCTGGAATATGTGATTCAAAAAGCCTCCGAAACCAGGGATCAAGTCAGCATGGTGAGCAAAATTGTCTTTTACTCCTCGGGCATCAGATCACATAATAACAACATCGTGCACAAGAGTTTAAATATCCAGCTACTGCAGGCTGTCTCCTGCCCAGCCAACAAATGGCCTCAAACTGTGCAGGCGGACCGAATGCACAACATGGTCCTTGACATTCTTGTTAAGTGTGAAAACGTCACTGCCAAAGGCACCTCTCCTCACAACTGGCTTGCCATCTTCCAGCTGCAGCCATTTCATGCCATTTTTAAAAAGATTTTTTTAGCAATACATTTCACTCTAGAGATTCCAGTAATAAATCCTTGTTAGTGTCACTTCAGATCACATCACTGCTACTGAAGGAAAGAGGGGGAGACAATGAACCCAGTCTTCACAGGGCTATCTGTCCTGATGCCAATGTGCAGGAGCGTCCCAAATTTAAGGAGACCGCCCACCAATGCAACTGTAAACGTTCCCGTTGCGGTGAGGGGTGTCTCGGTATCTCTAGGCCCTGCTGCCTCATCTGGCTGCTCTGCTTATTGCCTTCGCTCTCCTCCCCAGCACCACCGCACATGTCGCTGTGGGGCAAAATGGAGGCCGCACAATAATATCAGATGACCCTGGTGGTATCTCAAGAGCACTTCCAGCAGTAATTTCACTCTGGCTTGTCACAGGGGATTCATCTCATTTAAAGCTACACACGCATTCACTGTCTATTTTATCGGTATTTTCCTGTTTCCTTCTCCCTTTTGAAAGAAAGCGTGGGGTGGGAGAGGGAGAAGAGAGAGGAGCAAGCCCATGGATGAGTCACTGTGAAGTAATGCACACCGTATTTATCCTTCTTTTGAACAGGAGAAAGTTATGAATGCAATTTAAAGGGGAAAAATATGCCTGAGATAAAGGGTTCTGATTAAAAACAAGGAAGAAAAATACTTCATCAGTGTTTTCTAAAACATCTGAAGGGGGGAGGTCTTAGCAATGCTATAACATGGTGGAAGAGCAAACAAAAAGTGGGAGTAGAAATGACAGTTGTTAGTGGAAGCTTATCTAGAAATTTCATCGTTAACCAAAAGCTTTATTTTAATGAAGGTTTAAAACGATGGCTACTTATTTACCATCTTAATTAAAGTCTTAAGTTTGTTTATTTTTTTAGAGAGTATGTAGTGGGGGTTAATTTAAAAGAAATGCATGTAGGCTGCTCTCTAATTGTTGCTGAAGAGCAGACTTTGAGGGCTTTTAACACAACAACATCCCTGAAAAACCAAACTGGTTTTAAATAAGGCCTGGATAAACAAACTTCTCATCAGCCTTGCACAAAACCTATAAAAGTCAGAATTGCAGCTGGACAGAGCAGTGTCTTTTGAAGCTTTGCAGCAACATTCCTAAATCAAATCTGTAGTTCAAAGCTGTTCACACAGGGAGTGTTCAGTTTCAGAAGTGGATGACATCACCCACTTTTCAGATTTACAAAGAAACTACAAAAAATGAATCATTCAACCACTGGGATCCCAGGTTGAAGCAGACACTTGCAGCTAAAGCATTTCCTCATGACCATATGAAAACATTAAAAAAAAAGAAAAACCTGTCAGAGCACATAGATATTGAAGGAAATGTAACATAAACAGGACGCTAAATTAAAATATTGGTCGCTAAAAGCACTAGCAGAGTTTAAAGCAAAGAAAGACTGAGAAAATCCTAGGCTTTTTGTGTTGTTACTGATAACCTCAGAGAAGGTACATTTTGAAAAACATTCTACCTCTAACAATTTTATCCCTGAAATAATAAGCACCAGATCCAGCATAAAATATGAATATCCAAAATTAGTCATCGTAAAACCAATTATTGAACACCATAAGGGGAATACTTCATACCAGCAGCTCTTTGAAAAAGCTAATAAAATGCATTAGAAGACATAAACAAGAGCTTGTTTTTAGAAAAAATACAAAAAATAACCCAAATTATACAATGTACATTCAGCAAATTGACAAGCTTCATGTTTTCACAAAGGCTAACACAGTTTCTGTTTTAAATTTGGTTTAAAATCAACAGAAAGGGGTTAACGCGTGCTGTGGGTAAATATACTAGTTCTGGGAGCTATTATTTTTGCTGCTGCTGTTGTCAAAAGCTTTGTTAAATTAAAAAAAAAAAAAAGGAAAAAGAGAGAGAAAGAAAGAGGGTACACTGATTTTGTAGAGCCTTGAGTGCCAGTCAAACATTAACACTATTTTCTTCACTTTGTTTGCCTTCCTGCTTGCTTTGATTGCTTTCTCCCTTCGTTACACCCACACTGCCTGACCTCTTCTTGCTCCTGTTCTCTATACTCCCTAAATTACCTACCCATATGCACCACATTAAAACATGTTATCATCTTCTCTTCCCATTACATCCATCAGAATTGTCAACTTTGCAAATTTGCTGTGAGGGTCAAATAACTAATATTTCTCTGCATGTCGCAGCTTATAGATTCATGCTATTAAGAGATATTATCAACTTTCAGCACAAAAAGTTTATAATGCTCCCATTTGCTGAGAAACAAATGGAAACCCTAAAAGCCAGAAAGTCTGGAGACAATAAAGAGATCATTAACTTTACTACTTTTTAAATCTTGTAATTGTTACAAGCCTGCTCCACGATCCTTGCATGAAGAGGACTGACGTGACTGACCCACATGTAGGGTTCTTCCTCTCCTACAGCACAGGTGCATTCCTCATCCTGCCCCACCACCCTGCTCTTTGGACACAGGGGTCATCTTCATTTTTCTGTGCTCTTGATTTATGATCAGAGTGTCTAAGTGTTATGATGATTCAAATAATATATAAAAACATTAGACAACTCATGGCCACTGCCCTTCTATCAGAGGAGATGGGGAATTGCTGAGTGCATCTCCCCACTGCTGAAAGCAGCCTGGTATTTACAGCCTTCATCCTGCTCTATGCAGATGGCTGCCAGAGGAGTGTCAGGCTGAAGCACTGCCTCCCTTTCTAAAAGTACGTGGCCCATGACACACACTGCAAGCAGCCACAACAGTGTAGACTGAGGAGAGGACAAAAGAAGGGAGGATCTCAAAACCTGGATCCAGGCCCAGTGGCTGCAGAGTTTGGACGACCAAGGTTTATTAAGAATCTTCTTTACAAATAAACTGTAAGCAAGCTACATTTTGTCAACTGCTCCTCTCTTCCTGCCACACCTTCTGCACTATTTGGACTCTCTAAAGAAGTTAAAATTGCACACCAAATGCTCTCTTCTGCAGAAGGATCTCAACTGGAACTGCTGCCATCCCCGTCCCTGGCAGTGAAGAGACTCTATTATAAAGCTTTTGCAGATGCAGCATGCGTTGTCCAAGAGGAAAAGCACATCTAACAAAAATGAGATAAAAAGTGCACTGATGAAGCCTGTGATGCAGCTGGCTCAGCACCAGCCTGCAGGACCCCATGATCCAGCTGGTATTTTTTGATTGTTGCAATTGCTGGCCACAACCTCAGGGCTTAGTGAGATGGAGAGGGCTATTGGAAAGGGATCCGCCTTAGTCCCATTTGCGACAACAGGCAGCTGCAAGCCCACTAGATTCTGAAATAGGCTGCACAGAAAGGAGTGTGTAGGCACCCACTGAGTAGAAATAAAGGACACCACACACTAAATTTAGATATGAACCCTTTTAAAAACCACTAAAGATGTTTGCTAAATGACAGACAGCTCCCTTTCCTATAAATGACAGCAGCATAGCACTAGCTCTTCCTAGAAAGCATAGGTTGACTTCCAAGCCTGCACGATGCTAAACACAAAAGAATCTCTTAACACACTTGCCCATCAGCAGAGGAATGAGCACATGCTCCGTTACAAAATGGAAGAAAGAAATCTATTTGGAAACCACACAATAATTTTGCTTCTGAACACATCATTAACAAAGCAATAAAAAAAAATGTATTTTCTTCTTTTTCCCTTTGTGCGGTATTAATGCTTCAAAGTTAATGATGGTCCACTGTGAAACAGGAAATCATGTAGCAGATATCTAAGGACAACATTTGGTGACAGCAAAAGGAGCTCAACCTCTTGCAAGCAGACACTGCACTGTTTTGCAGCTTGTTCTCTATGACACATTATTTTCATTTTATCCTAGTTCTAGGGAAGTTGTTTACTATCTAGGCAAATCACAAGCATTTGTTACACAACACTGATTTTCAGACTGTTCTAGTGTATACACTACTACACTTGGGGTTTTTTTCTAGTTCTGGTAAGACTGACATGGCCTTCTCCAATCAAAGGGCATTATCCTCCTCCTACAGGAGGGCAGAATTTGTTCCTGGGTTTACAAAAGCTCGAAGTGTAGCCTGACAGGATTGCTAGCAAGGATTATGCAAGGCATTGTTAAAGAACTACTCTAGAAAAAAGAAAAAAAAAAGAAAAAAAACAAGAAAAAAAACCAGGTCAGCAGTCAAAAATTCCTTCTCATGATGTCAGGCTGATCTGTAGTAGAGTCTTATGAGTAGATCTTACAAGAGTAGAAGACTCGTAAGAGGAAAAGAGGGAATATTTGTGTTTTCAGGTTTCTTTTTAGATATGGACTAAAGTAATCCCTCCATTTTTCTCCTTTTTTTTCTTTTTTTTTTTTTTCTTTTTTTTTTTTTTTT